CCTTAGGAGAGGAGTACCCTAATTAATAACAATGTACCTACCTATATAGTTTAAGTTTTAAAAATTTGGCTCTCAAAAGAAATTTCAATCGTTGTACTGTTGATATTTGGCTCTGTTGACTAATGAGTTTGCTGACCATTGGGATAGGTGATAGATACAGAGATACAAATAGACATAAACACAGGAAAAAAGAGTGTGAGTGAGAGTGAGAGCACAAAAGAAGGGGGGGTCATGTAGTTGACAATCCAGTGGGGAGGAGAGATTAGAGAAAGAAAGCTATCAGTCACTGTGGCAAGCACTAGAAAGAAACTGGTCCAGAGGCAGAGAAAAGACCACAGGGTATGGAGGGATTCACTTTATATGGGGAGTCAAAAACTCGAGTTTTGTCTGGGGATGGGAGAAGAATATGCAGAAGGCCTGGGGTGAGACAGCTGGGTGGTTGGAGTTACTGAAAGCAGACTGTCATTTCAGCAGAGCAGCCAAAAGGGAAGGTGGTAAGAGAGAGCAGGGGAGATTCAACCACCCAAATAATTGCCTAAAGTCACCTCATAATTTCTCATCACTATCTCTACAAAATAAAATTGGTAAAATTAAATTGAAATTGCATAGATAGCTAACCTTTATATTTTTCTTTTATTGAAGTAATTTCATAATAGGTTTGTAATATACTTGGAAATCAGTTCTATGATGTCATTTCCTAAACAGTTTCCAAATGCCTTTATCATAAAGGGTTCACATTAAATAAAACACTTTCATCAATTCAAGGTCCAAATTATTTATCATGGCAAAACTCCAACTAATTGTGAGTCCAAGGGGAGATTGTTTTGCACACAGAATTAGAAATATTTATAGCATTAATAGTCACTTTTATGTACTTTTTATTTACAAAAGTATCCATCTCAAAGTCGCTTGAATTTTGGAAAGTTCTATGATCATTTCATGCACAGTAAAATTTGTGTACAGTACAAATTAAACACAGTTTTTTATTATCCCATTGTCAATTGATTTGATATGAGGTAACTGTTCTGGCTTAATTGCCTTACTCTGAAAAAGCCCTGAGGGGAAAGCAATCCTATATCTACTCAACACGAGAATAGAAATTTCAATTTGCCTTAAAATGTGATTAGTTGAGTCTATCAGGCCTACCTCTTGTTTCTAAACTCTGCAAATACTAAGTACAAAAACTTCACAAAAAATGTAAAGAAAGTTCTAAAGTTTGAGAATATGTTGACAAAACTTCCCTTAATACATACCTTGTTTTCCCTGAGGGTTTTCAAGACCTCATAGGAAGTTTAATTCTGTAGGCCACTCTCTCAGAGAAGTGAGTTTTATATAACAATGCGCTTGGAAATTTTCTGCTAAAAGAATAACATGGAAGAAAGAATATGGGAAGGAGGAAGAATGTTAAGAGGACACCTCAAAAGTTTTATTATCAGGTTAAGTAATTTTGCTTGGTAGAACAGATTTGTTTCTTTTTTAAAATACATTTTTATTGATTTAGAGACAGAGGAAGGCAGAGGGAGAGAAACATTGATGTGGATGTGAGAGAGAAACATCAATCAGTTGCCTCCCATACATACCCCGATACATGTGTTGGAACCCGTAACGTGGGTTTGTGGAATTGAACCTGACTGGGAATTGAACTGGCAGCCCTGTGGTGCATGGACAGTGCTCAGCCAACTGAGCTACACCAGCCAGGGTATTTTTTATTCTTAATTTCAACTTTCCATGGTTTTGTCCTTCATTTTTTCCACTTCAGGGGAACATGGTTGATGGGTCCTAGGCCTGAAGCTTGTGAATTAAGAACTGTTTAGTTCATCCATCGGTGTTCCCCAACAAGCACTGAGTGTATCTTCAGGGATACCTGAAGAGGCCCATCATTGTGACCCCACCAGAGTAGTCCTGCTCCCCAAGATGTGCCAGCAGGGGTCCCTTCAGAAAGCCTAGTAGAAGGATGGTTCTTAATAGACCCACGAGCAGAAACATAGACCTACAGCTTCTCTTATTGTAACTACCGACAACCACTCTTTTGGCTCCATGTCTTTTGAAATGAGAACTACAATAACCTCTATGAATTAAATATTTCCTACAATTTTATAATCTAACAAAAGCCACTATGGTTTCACAGGTGAGTGTAATTAGAGTATGTCCAGTCCTCCCCAGTTGTTGTCTGTAATCTCATTAGAAATGTCACAGCTGCTAGGTAAGAAGACATATAGGAATACTTTTTAACAAGAAAACGGTTGGAAACTCATAATCACTATCATTATACATTGGTTAACTGTTTGCAGGAAATTTTCTTTAGGATAATACAGTCCCTGCCTTCACCAAGCATCATTGACTCTGGTGTCAAACAGCATCCCAATTTTTTATTCAACAAATAAATAAAACAAGGAAAAAATCAGAGACCTCAACACTGAAACTATTTTTTAATTGATTTTTTAGGGAGAGAGGAAGAGAGAGGGATAAAGAGATAGAAACATAGATAAGAGAGAAACATCAATCGGGTGCCTACTGCATGCCCCCTACTGGGGATTGAGCCCACAACCCAGGCATGTGTCTGACCTGGAAGATTCACATTAACTGTGACCTCCTGGTTTATGGGTCGATGTTCAGGCACTGAGCCACACCAGCCAGGCAAAACTATTTTATATTGGATTGTTACTCATGGTTGGCAGAATTTTTCTGTTTTCAGCCTAACAATGACAGTATGTATACTATAAAATAATTTGTATTCCAAGGTATTTCCCCTCTAACGTTAAACAAGTAGATACACTAGACAATACTGTAGGTTTTGTACTCCTGGCTGAACTAACCCATTTTATTGTTGTCCTAATTCAAAGATGGTGTTCCATCTGTGGTTAAGAAGAGCAGAAAGTCTTCCCACATTAAAGATGTAAGAACTATTCTTTGTTTGCAGACTTGTCTGTCAAATAAGTAAAAAATTCCTTCAGTTTTACTTAAAGGAATATTTGCCAGAAAAGCAAGATTGGGCTCAACCCCACAGATAAGTGTCAGTTGTCAGTCTGTTTATTGGGAAGGCTGCCCCTTTAACTAGCTTAAAATTGCTAGTGGCTTTTCCCAGATTCTACTGACAGCCTCACCCCACCCCCAAGAATAAGTGGGGAGGGGAGAGAGGGAGAGAGAAAACCTATTCCAAGTTCTTCTCACCCTTCTGTACCCCATAAAACAACCGTCTGGATTACACACCTGCTAATTCTGGAAGCTCCTCCAAGTTCCCCAAATCTTGCAGTAGATTTTAAGCTTCCCTGGGTACAACGCTCACCATCCCGAACACCCTTCACACAGCGTGCGCAATATATTTTAGACCTTGATGAATCCCCGTGCCGTCCATCAAAGGTGCTGTGAACCCAAAAGACAGCAACAGCTGAAAAATTAGAATTCCGACGTCAATCAGAACACAGTCCGCAATGGGTCCGGCCAGGACCCTCCAAGTGGGAGGGCGCTCGCCAGCCCCAGGAGCGAATCAGAAGCTGGCCCAGCCGTTGCCATGGCCACGTTGTTTGTTAGCGCGGTGCACGCACACTGCGCGCGCCAGCGAACCAATCAGGGGCCGGCCAGGGCGTTGCCATGGCCACTTTGTGTGTTAGAGCACAGCAGGTGTGGGGCGATGGAGACTCAGGGCGCTTTTCCCGGGCCCAGACCCAGGCCCAGCGAGGATCCGGGCAGCCGCATCCCTAGACACCCTCCTCTGCCCGATTTCCTGAGTGCACGGCATGAACCGCAAGAAGCTGCAGAAGTTGACGGACACCTTAACTAAAAATTGCAAGCATTGTAAGTACGAATCAAGTGCTGGATTAGCACAGGCTCCTGGTCCAGGTCTCCTGCCCTACCCGGTGCTAAAATTTTCTGCCCAACCTGCTTTCTAACTCCAAGCCTTGGGGCCCTGGAGCCCCCTCCACCACCCTTAAAGAGAAGCCTGGACGAGAATACCTGGATGTCAGCTTTTCGGAGCAGGCTCCACGCCTGCCAGTCATCTTAAGGATCGCTATCCAGGTGTCCAGGCATCTAGGATTGCACTCCCACAAGTACACTTACTTGCTTCTCAAGCGCTCTTCTTAATTTACCCTTACATTACAGAAACGTGATTTATACACCCAGGAGACACACGTGGTTTTAGACTCGGTCATAGGTGTAAAGTGACTATTAAAAATCAGGGAGTCGAGAAAAGTATCATAAGCAACATACACCTGCATTCTAGCTTTCTAGAGCAAGTAAAATGACAGTGTTCAATACTGGATACTTACCAAGAGATCTGTAAGGGAAAATGGTTATCGAGGACTGAACACCCTTAGGAAGCAAACCTATGTCAGAGCTGGAGGGGAAGTGAACCCAAAGAGCTCACTGAAGCTAAACACATGGTAAAGAATCTGTTCCCAGCTCTAGACTTCCACTTTCCAGTTGCTGGTGGGGTTGCAGGGTACTTTGCCGGTGACAAGATGAGCACTTATTAAAGGTATCTGCTCCCACTGCACATTCTAAAAGGCGGTCCTAGAATTTCCTAGGTAACTTTAGAATTGTACTCAGACTGAAAAACAGAACTGTACCTGGGCCAGGAAGATAAGGACGTGGTTTAGGTGAAGACGGTGTTGTCCAATGAGCAAGCTTATGAATTGTATGCTGATTGCAAAACTACTGTCCACCTGAGAAAATAGAAGAAGACATAATCCCAAGACCATTCCCACTGTGCAAAGAAGGAGGAACAAACATGTTTTAATGTAGTTCTAGAGATTACAGGATCTCATTTCTTTTAATTGTATGTGTACCTAATGCAATGAGTAGTAAGAAAGGCTCTCTTAGTGGAGTGGTGCTGTAAATGAAAATTAGAGTGTGTATAAGCATCTTAAACTTCTTAGAAAAATAGTCATCCTGTCATTTAAGGCATTATTATGGTCATTATAATATGATGAGAGTTTGTTCTGTTGTTGTTTTTCTTAAAATACTTCCATTTCTGGGAGAAGACCACACCCTCTAAAACATCTGGTAAACACTTTGAATACAAAATGCAATAATTTCAATATACAATGCTGAATTTAATTTGCTCCCTGTTCAGTACATTTGCAAACAGACATTCTGTGAATAATTAAGAGGTGAGTATATTAAAAGATAAAGAAACACATGGCAGGATAAACTCTTTTGCTTTTTGTACTTACATAAACATTTTAAAGTGAGCCTGAAAAACTTGGATGATTACTAGTTAAATTCTATAGAAAGAGTTTCAAGTCCTTGGCATTAAATTCCTTTAAACAGAGGACCTTTCACCTAAAGTTATATTTCCTTTCAGTTGGCCAATGATAATCCCACTAGGATTAAATGGATAAATTTTGTGGAATCAGAGACGAAAGTATCTTCAGTGGTCATATAGTTAAACTGCGACTCTACAGATATGATCTGAAGAACAATCAAACCAACCCAAAAAAATGAAAGCCCATCCTTGAATTTTTCTTAACTGTATTTAGTATTGTATTCTAGAACTTAAGAAACATTTCAGCAAGAAAAGTTTTCTTATGGCTAATCTTGGATCCTTGGGTAATAAATTAAGCTAATATTCTTTAATCTTTATTTCAGCCGAGATGGAAAAGATGAAACATAAAATGCTGAGTGAAGGGGATGTTGTATAGTCATTCTTTAAGCAGTCTTTTCTTTCCCAACTAGCCAACAGCCTTTTTACTTTGAGAATATTTTTAAATTGTGGTTAAATTTTACTATTTTGATTGTACAGCTCTGTGTATTCAATTTATTCAAATTGTTGCACAACTGTTACCACCATTAAGCTCCAGAACATTTTTATCTTTCCCAACTGAAACTCTATACCCATTATAGTATAATTCCCCATTTTCCAATTCCCCAAATCCCTGGCAACTACCATTCTACTTTCTGTCTCTATTAATTTCATCACTCTAGGTATATCATATAAGTGAAATCATACAGTATTTGTTCTTTTTTGTTTGGCTTATTTCACTCATCATAAAGTTTTCAAGTTTCATCCATGCTATCGCATGTGCCAAAATTTTCTTCCTTTATAAAACCAAATAATCACCCATAGTATGCATTTACTATATTTTGTTTATCCATTCATTCACCAGTGGACACTTGATTGCTTCCACTTTTGGCTACTGTGAATAATGTTGCTATGATCTTTGGTGTGCAACAATCATGTCAAACTCGTGGCCTGGGGGCCACATGTAGCCCACAATGAATATTTTTTGCGGCCCAACCAATATAACGGTATGTAAGAAATATTTTAATAAAAATTTTGTAACTTAATTTTTACAATATTCTGTTATACATAATCCTATATAATAAAAGCATAGTATGCAAATTGTCCTCTCAACCACGAGTTGTCTGGGAATTCAACCAGGGGGCAGGGCCAGCCAGGGGAAGGGAGGGAGGCCCCGGCCGGCAGCCGGCAGCTGCTAGGGACTCTACCAGTGCACGAATTTCATGCACTGGGCCTCTAGTTATTAATAACGAACTACAACATTCTCTAATGACTGATTACTGTAATCGTGTTGCATTCATTTCCCTTATGTGCCTTATGTGCAGGCACACCATTCTCTCCACTAATACTAGCAGCAAATATTTTAGCAGATGATTGAAACATCATTAGTCTTGGACTGACTTGTTTGATGTGCGCAACAGGAAATATTTCGCTTTCAGAGAACAAGAAAAATAGGTTTATTTGCATTACGCTTAATAATTTGTGCAGTTATTCAGTGTCTGGTAAGTTAATGTTCAAGAAAAAATATTAATTTTTATTAAAATGTTCCATTATTTTATGTTAACGATTACTCATTTATTTCAGCCCTTTTTATTCAGCATGTCTCTATTGAAATAAACCTACATTTCTATGAAAATTGAAGCTTTTGTTTTTTTGCTGCCCACATAAACTTAAACCTTGTTCATTTGGCCCATGGTAGCCTTTGAGTTTGACATGCTTGGTGTACAAGTATTTGAGCCCCTGCTTTCAGTTCTCTGGGTATATACCCAGAAGTGAATCACTGGATTACACAGAATTTCTGTGTTTAACTTTTTGACAAACTGGTATACCATTTTCTACTGCAACTAACAGCTCTTTTAAAAATTATAATCATTATACTCTTGTCTATTATTTAATTTATTTACTAAATCATTTGTTTTTCAAGGTTTTTAATATCCCTCTTACATTTTGGTATCCCAAACCAGAAATCATACTCAGGCCTGTTCTGACCTGTAGGATTAGATGTGATTTCTCCATTTCTATGTTCTGTCTTCTTTTACATGCATGCAGGTTTTGTCCTTGTTTTAAAAAATACTCTGTCTTGTTTTGAAATAAACTCATCCCCATCTTCTACCTATAATTCATATTTAAGCTCACTTTTTTGTTCTTTTTTAAAAAATATATATTTTTATTGATTTTCTACAGAGAGGAAGGGAGAGGGATGGAGAGTTAGAAACATCGATGAGAGAGAAACATCAATCAGCTGCCTCCTGCACACCCCCCACTGGGGATGTGCCCACAACCAAGGTACATGCCCTTGACCGGAATCGAACCTGGGACCCTTCAGTCCACAGGCTGATGCTCTATCCACTGAGCCAAATTGGTTAGGACTCACTTTTTTGTTCTTAATGCTAGGCAATAACCCTTCCACTTAACATATCTGAAATGGGAATTGGAACACAAATAATTATCTCACTCTTTAAAAACACCACCCTTTATACAATGATGTGTGTTGACAAATATGAATGTGTGTGTATCCTTTCAATAAAAATTGCCTTCATTCAAAGTACTGCTGAATAATTGCATGTTAATTTCATTTCATCTGCAATAAGAGCTACAAGAGTGCTAAAATATGTTTAAACACTTTTTTATTGGAAAATGGGTGATTTTAATTTCCAAAATCTCAATTATGGATTTTCTAAGGCTAATATGAAATAAAAATTGTCTCCTGACTTTCAGGAGCCTGGTATCTATTTCCAGGGGAATGCTAAATTACAAGTCTCATGAGTGCCTGTCATCAAAATGCAAGGAAAGTTAGCATTCTTAAACATTACCATACTTACTTTGAATCATATCTCTACTGCCTTTTAAAGTTTAGAATTGGACCCCATGATCATTATTCAGGTAACTTGACTGATACTGTCTTCTTTTTTCCTAAGTGTGACTGAACTTGCACCTGTTGGATATTGGAGGGAAGGTTTTTTCTCTCATTTTAGTGGAGAATCCTCTGTAGTAGCCATCCTCTGTTAACTTAAGGGTCATGAATCTCAAAACAGATATGTCTTCTGCCCTGGCTGGGTAGCTCAGTTGGTTGGAGCATCCCCATAACCCCCTGTAATCTACAAGGTTGGGGATGATTCCAGGTCAGGGCACATACCACATACCTAGGTTGCAGTTGGATCCCTGATGGGGATGTGTAGGGGAGGCAATTCTCTCTCTCTCTCTCTCTCCTCCCTCTCTCTCTTTCTCTCTCTCTCCTCCCTCTCTCTCTAAAATCAGTAAAAACATAGCCTCGGATAAGGATTAAAAAAATACCATAGGATTGCTGACAACTACATATCTGATGGCTTTAAAATGTTAGTCTATAAATTCATTAATGCAAAATTTAAGTTAGAAATTAAAGATTAAAACACATTTTTGTTATATCTTAACTTTATTTTTCCACAGTTAATAAATTTGAAGTGAAGTGTCTTATAAAACTTTATTATAACTTGGTGGGAGATATAATAGAGCGACAAGGTGTGGTCAATGGACTGGATCGTAATGCATTTAGAAACTTCTTGCATGTGACATTTGGAATGACAGATGACATGATTATGGACAGAGGTAAGGAGAAATACAAATCCAGCCATAACTGAAAAAAAAGTATTGAGTTGGACTTACTGTTTGTAAAACCTTGATGTTCTATATTCCCAATTTCATTCAAATATAAAATTTAAATCTTTATATTCAAGAAAAAGATCATAGGAGAGGGAAACGAGAGTGAGGGAGGCTAAGGGGGGATAAATGGTGATGGAAAAAGACATGAGTTGGGGTGTGAACACACAATACAATATGTAGATAATGTATTACAGAATTATATACCTTACAACTATATAATTGTGTTAACCAATGTAACCCCAATAAATTAAATTTTTTTTTAAAGAAAAAGATCATAGAGATGGAAATAGTATCCACTCTATTTTGTGTATTTAAGAAGTGGACAGAGTCAGCTTGAATAATTAGGTATCCCTTACTTTATAACAGAAAACCTAAACTATTTCTATTTTTACTTAATAAATATAATAATAAGAAGAATAGTTTTAAAAGGACATTTAAGTTTCTTTACATCATTGAAAGTATTTCAATAAGAATCAAGATATAGTCCAGTCTACCATGTAATAAAGCATTACATTTGTTGAGTAACAAAAGTACAAAATTATATATTTTATGTTAATATAGCAACACATTTAATATATCAACAGTTATATGTTAATAATTAGTTATTAACATATTTAGATATTCAGAATTTACTTTGTTCCCACAAAATATGAGGAGAAAATGTGAAAGTTAGTTTCTTCCTTTGTCAAATGGGAATATTGGATCATATGATCCTGAAGTTTTGTTTAAATTTTAAAAGTGAGTAGTACCAATGTAGATACATTACTGAGAGTAAAAATGCAGCACAAGTATTACATTGCCCTTCTTTTTCTTTTTAGTATTCCGAGGTTTTGATAAAGACAATGATGGTTGTGTAAGTGTATCAGAGTGGGTATATGGATTATCACTGTTTCTTCGAGGAACTTTGGAAGAAAAAATGAAATGTAAGATTTCAGGTTATCCTACTGGTTTGCACATTATGCCTAACATATCTAAAACATTTTAAACCGATTTCTTCCAACCTAGCCAGTGAAGTAGGTTGTCTGTTGGTTGGTTGGTTGGTTGGTTGGTTGGAATACCCATTAGCCTCTTTTACGGAGCAAATTCAAGTCATTGCTAAAGGTTGAAAAAAAAATTAATTAAAAGAAAAATCAAGAGATTTTGAAGAGTAATTCATGTCAAGCAAGACTAGATAAGCACATGTTATAGGTGCTAGTCATGTATATATACATTTACATTACAGGTCTTAAGATTATGTTTTTGCATATTTAAGTACTTGAATTATAACCATAAAAGTAGGGGATATTGATTCTAGTGCTCTGATTCTTAGTTAATTCTTAATTTTGATGAACTCTGTTTAAGAATTATGTCAACATTAAATTTTTTAAATAAAAGAATTATATGTCAGTCAGTTTTCCACGAGTTTCAAGATGAAAAATTTCAACTTATTGCTTCTTTTTTACCTTAATTTTCTTTTTTTTAATTTATATTTATTGTTGAAAGTATTACAGATGTCCCTTGTTTTTCCCCCATTGACCCCCTCCACAATTCAATCCTCACCCCGTATTCACCACACTATGTCTGTGACCATGTATTATGCATCATCAGTTCATTAGATTCCACCTATAAGTGAGATCATGTGATACTTGTCTTTTTATGATAGGCTTATTTCACTCAACATAATACCTGGGGAGTATTATGCCAACTTATTGTCTCTTGTCATGCTTCTCCATAGCTGATTGTAATGAAACTTTTTCTAAGGATTGTTGCATATATTCAACAAGTGAACATTAAGCATTTATTATGGAAATTAGATTGTGTTAAGGCCTGTGGCATTGATAAGAACATCAATATAGACCTTGGTCTTGAAAACTTTATCAGAACAAATGTTACTTTAAGGATAATATCAAATTCCTAATTGGCTATTTTTTAAAAGATTGCTTTGAAGTGTTTGATTTGAATGGTGATGGATTCATTTCAAAGGAGGAAATGTTCCACATGTTGAAGAACAGCCTTCTTAAACAGCCATCTGAAGAAGACCCTGATGAAGGAATCAAAGATTTGGTTGAAATAACACTTAAGAAAATGGTAAATATGTATAATTTAGGGTTTTATATTAAAATTTAAAGGGTAATTGTGGGATAAAAATAATAATTCAAATGATAGTAACTATCAGTTTTCTGCTTGGTGAAATCAAACACCTGGATTATGCTCTTTTTTTATAATATTGATAGTTCATTACAATTCAACTAGTCTCATTTCTCTAATACCTTTTTTTTCCATTTACACGTGACCATGAAAAGACAGTTGTATTTGCAATAAGTATTTTACATGTTGACGCATATACGGCTGGTCACTCCTAGGATCATGACCATGATGGGAAACTGTCCTTCTCAGACTATGAACAAGCTGTGAGAGAAGAAACTCTTCTACTGGAAGCTTTTGGACCATGTCTACCTGATCCAAAGGTAAAGAAAGATATTGTTACACTGGCCAGGGGATTGGAGCACCATTCAGTGCACTACAAGGCTGCAGGTTTGATTCCCAGTCAGGGCACATACTTGGATTATGGGTCCCATCCTTCGTGAGAGCATGTGAAGGAGGCAACTGATCAATGTTTCTCTATCACTTCTCTCTCTCTCTCTCTGTCTCTCTGTCTGTCTCTCTCTCTCTCTCTCTCTCTTTCTCTTTCTCTCTATAAAATCAAAAAAAAAAATCCTAGGGTAGATATTTAAAAAAGGAAGAAAGATATTAGTTTTTACTGAACAGTGACCAAAATATGATGTAGGATCAACAACCAAGTCTTCTTGGTCTGGTGAGTGATGGATCAGACAAATAACCTTCAGCCACAGAGAATAGCTTATAGACAGAGAAAGCCCCCTGAAGAACAACTTGATGGTTCATTTTATAGTACTACTGTGGCCGAATGCTATTGTTTGTTTACTCATTAACTCATTCATTTATGTAGAAACAATGATTGAAGCTTAATGTGGACCAGAAGCACATACGAAAGGCTTAATTGAAGTGCTCAAGGGTTAATATTTTTTAGGAGGAACGTCAACATGAAAATAATTACTCAACAGTATGATAAGTATTATTATAATAATAGTTAATGACTTATACAGGTTTCATCTATGCCATCCACTGTTATAAGCACTATCATCCACATCACCTCATTTAATTCCCTTATCAACCCTATGAAGTAGGTAGTATTATTATTCTCATTTTACAGATGAGGAAACTGAGGTTTGAAGAGTTTAGCCCACTTGTCCAAGTTCATGCAACAATTATGAAGTACCCTGGGTCCCCTGGTTCTAGAGTCCATAGAGATATGTATAGAATATTGTGGTGCTCACGAAGACCGCATCAAAACCAGCTGTATCAAATGACTGGTAAATGGCTGGTGGGACAAGGAAGGCTAGGTTTCAAGGACACAATAGTCAGCTAGGTCAAAATGGGGACAAATAATGAATAATCTAAGCAAAGGGAAGGCATGACGCGCACAAGAGAGAGAAATGAATCTGTATTCAGAGAGTATTTGGTGTGGTATGAAACTGGTGATGAGTGATGATGCTGGAGATGCATAGAAGGGCCAATCCCAAGGGAGCTTGGAGTTTGGATTTTGTCTTGAGTGCCTGAGGATTCATTGGAAAATTTTAAGCAGGTAGAATGATTTGGTATATAAATATTACAATACACCTCTCCCCAGTCTCTAGTCCGTATCTCCAGCTGCCTACTCAACATATCCAATAGATAATCTCAATAAACTTTCTCATCAGGATTTAAACAGGTCTAAACCTGTCCCATCTGGAAAAGAAAAGAATAGAAAAAAAGAGGTAGAAAGGAAGGAGGAAGGGGGGAAAGGTGGGAGCAAAAGAAAGAGGAAGGAAGCAAGGAAGGAAGGAAAGGAAAAGAGAGATCTTACCTTAATTACACAACTACTTTTATTTTCTGTCCAATGGCTTTGTTTTTCAAAGTCAAATGTCTTGAAAGAATTGTCCATATTTGCAACCTACACTGCCATTACTTTTTCCTCTCCACACTTGAAGCTGCTCTCGCTGAGGTCACCACACCACACTCTCCCTATTAATCCCAAGCATCCAGCTTTTGGGTTTTTGTCTTACTAGACTACATTCCTTCCCTATGCCCAACTGTTTTTCCAGCTTCTCTTGCTCTAGGAAGCATGTCTGCTACCTGCCACTGACTGGCTGTGACATAATTAGTCCTCCTGGCCTCCCATAGTCTACTGTGTGTTTACTTTATTGCATCCCTCACTTCAGTGAATTAAGCTCATCAGTTTCTGGATGGTTTCTGCCACTAGACTGGAGGCTCCTGAAGATCTGGGTCATGTAGTCTTGCTCACCTTGTAGCCCCACACTAAGTATTGTACTTGGAATATAATCTGTACTGTCACCATCTGTAAGTGAACAGAAAATGCATGACCATCACAAGTTCTTGATGTTGTTATCTTGTGTCTCTTCCAAGGAGACATACGGAATATCTTTGTTTTGTTCTGCTTTTTTCGTAAGTCTGTACTAATTTTAGCACTTTTATTTTACAGAGCCAAATGGAATTTGAAGTCCACATATTCAAAGATCCAAATGAATACATTGATATGTGAATAACTAAATGTCTGTGTTGCCTCAAATGAGTATAAAAAAGGAGGTGTATATGTATTGTATATATATGTTTTTTATTTAGAAAGATGATATTGAATTGTGTGTTTGGGTGGGGGATGTTGTTCACTTACATATATCATTTAACTTTAGTGTAAGAACCAAGTAAAAGGGATATAAGACAAGTTTCTTATTAGATGTTGTTGGGTTTGGGTTTAACATTGCTAGAGGTATTTTATACCTAGACATATGTTGAAGCATATAACTATCAGAAAAGTTTGTATTAATGAAATGAATAGTGAAATTATATTATCTTGAATTATATAAGGCAACTATTAAGGCAAGTATTTTTCATGTCAGAAAAATGCTAGATATAATAAAATTAAAAATCATAGAGCCCTAACCAGTTTGGCTCAGTGGATAGAGCATCAGCCTGCGGACTCAAGGGTCCTAGGTTCATTTCCAGTCAAGGGCATGTACCTTAGTTGCGGGCACATCCCCAGTAGGGTGTGTGCAGGAGGCAGCTGATCAATGTTTCTCTCTCATCGATGTTTCTAACTCTCTATCCATCTCCCTTCCTCTCTGTAAAGAAAAAAACAATCAATAAAAATCATAGAAATTACTGAATGTTTTTGGAGCAGTAAATAATTAAGATGGTATCGAAAGACACTGGCATTTAACATTTAAATACCATTCTGCTAGGCACTGAGGGAGATTTAAAGAGATGAAAGAAACATGTCGCGTATTTTAATATGATCTTTATTATTGTTTGAGGCTTTGTCATTCAACCTGCCTAGATTGTAAGTATCTGAGGGCTGGGGGTCTCATCATACCCATCTTTATATCTGTCATAACAGTTAGTACAGTCCTCTGCACAGAACGTCTCTCAATAAATACTGTGGGTTGAAAAGTACAAAGTACAATAAGATAAATCCAAACTCTTGGCAAGCAGGGGAAGAGGAAAGTGCTGTTTCTTGAGTTTAATGAATGATGCATGGGCACAGCTTCCAGTTTATTTCTGGAGTCATCCTGGTTGCCCCCTTTCCCTGCCATTGTACTCAGTTGGCAAGCCGGTTCTGGCTCCCTCTGCTTCCTACGTCCGCTCTACTCTGTCCCCGTCACTGCCTTGGATTCCCCTTGCATACTCCCTTATAAGGGGACCTGACTTCCCTCTACCCCCCACTATCCAGCAGGTGCCTGTGGGCGTTGGGTGGAAGCATGAAAAGACGGGCTTAGTTATGCTCTTTGAGTTACTGTCTATCTCTTTAGTGAACATGCGCAAGCAGCTAATATCTCTTCTGTCAATATGTAAATATTTAGAAGCTTTTTGGATATTAAATACTTTTTACTATATAAGATGAAGCAAAAGAGTACATTGTATTAAAAAATGGACAGTTACAAATAAGTGGAATAAGCAATTCCAAGAAATAAAGACATTTTACTGTCTAAGTATTTTCTTAACATTTTAGATTGTTATTGAGATGGACTTTGACACAATTCTTCTATCTTGAGTATGTATAAATAATGCAATACACATGCTTTTAATTTTGTAATTGTATTTTTCTGATTACAAAGTAATAGAGATTAATTGAAGAATACTTCAGAAGTTTAGGAAATTCAACAAATAAAATTCAATTATTCATTAATATTCTGGGATAGATTCTTTCAGGTTCTCTTAAGGCACCCTATATGTTTTTAGGTGATCATGTTGAAAATGCTCTTTTGTAAGCTGCTGGTTTTGTGCACCACGATCTCATGAACATTTTCTCAGGTCATTAGATGTTTGTCTACAGCCTCACTTGTAATGGCTGCCTGGTGTCCCATCACTACAGACACACTCAACCACTTCCCTGCCACTGACATGTGTTGGTTCACACATTTTTGCTGTTATAAATAATTTCTGAAATGAACTGTTCTTATAGACACATCTTCTCACATGCATTATTGGTTACTTACTTGGGGTAAGTTTGTAAATAGAGGAATGTTGAGTGAGAGGCCAGTGTGATCTCGAGATTTGTAGTACATGTCACCAGGTTACCCTCGAGAAAGGCTGCTGTGCTCAGTGCATGAGAGGCCGATTCCTTTCCATGTGGTGCACATTCTTTGAACTTCTTTGCTAACATCATGCACCATAATTGGCCATGATTTTAATGTATCATTTAAAGAACTAATCTTATACAGCTGTACCTAAACTTTTTATTGTAGTTTGATTAAAAAATCAATTTCCAAGTCAATAACCCTGTTTTATTACATATTATTTAAAACTAAAAAAAAAGTCTTAAAAGAATTCTAAATAATTTAAGTGAAACCTAAGATGATGTTAGTACTTGACCGTAAGATCTCATAGGCTCTGTTCACACCCCTCGGCTGTTCCTCACCATAATCTGCCCAAATCATTTCCTCTGCTAGTATATCTAGATTTCTGGAGCCTCTTCATTTCACTACTGTAGAACTCATAAGTGATTTTAACACTGAAATTTTACTCAACTTAATAGCAGGGTCATCTGAGTACAGAGGACCTTTGAGGACGAGATTTCTTCCCTCTTACTCCGAGCTCTGCCGCCCCTTGCCTCCTGCCGCCAGGCCTGTCCTGAGTCCTCATCCCTCGAGGTACAGCCAGTGTTTCTCAGCCCATGTTTGCCTGCCTTTGGGGCGACTCATTAGGACAATGGATGAACAAGTGTAATTTGGAAGATTGAATGTAACCTTCCTCTCACTGACTTCTCAACGCTTTGGCTTCCCCGTCTCCTCCCAGTGCTCTGCAAAGGGGAGCAGAAAGCAGGCCAGGCCCCTTTGGGAGAGCAGAGCATCGCCCTGCAAGCAGCTTGGAGAGATTCTGTTTGGGAAACAATCAAGTACTTTTTTTAAACGACAGGATTTTAAAACTGCCACTGCATTCTGGTAGTCCTGCATTCTTAACCTGTAAATATCTTTGGGTACAAGATTGCACTTGTAAGAAGCCAAACCAGCAAGTGCTTGCATTATAAAATCATCCAAAACATTCACTAAGTTCCTGCTTCGTGCTAAGCCATGAGGGTTAAAATATTCTAGGTCAGTTGCTCTGCCCTCACCTTGTTCATATTATATGATAAGACTCTATGCTGTGTGACAGTTATCACTGTTTAGATTCACTGTGACAGTCCCTCTCCTGCCTCCTTCTCCCCTACTCCCCCCAAAAAAGATATATAATTTTTAGTTAAAGAATATTATTAAAGGAAATTAAATATACTGTGAAACTAAAAAGATAGTAATGTCTATAAGATGTTTCTCTGAGCTGCTCCTCAGGTTGTCCATTTTTCCTAGTGCATTTTATCTAACTGGGTCCATTTCCTCACAGAATCAGCCTCTAACTCCCCCATAGTCATCCAGAACTGATGATTATTTCACTCCAAGTATGGCAAAGAAAGGGTGGGAATTGCATTTGACGTGGAGAGACTATGAAAGATACACAATAAAATAAAACTTTAATCCATGTATGTGTTAATTACAGTTCATCAAATTGTCAAGGTTGGTTGGTAATAGTTCAAAAAGAGGTAGAAGTAAAATATTCATCTTTTCTGATTTTGCAGCCACCCTTTCTGTTAGAGTAAAGCAAATGATCTCTTGAAGTATTTCCAGCCTCAGTTACCATTGAAGGAGGAGCCACCTGAATACAGCCACGCCAATCAAAGCCCCCTTCTCATGAGATGTATCTGAAGGAAACTTGCTCAGTTTCACAGGGGGAGCAACAAAGGAAAGAAGTCTAACAGTTGAATATTCTATGTGAAGCAAAGCATGCTTCTACATTTGAAATGTCTTTATCAGAGTGCCATTACCTTATGCAGTAGTTAATTGCTCACAGTTCCCTCACTGGTAATTTGTGGCTTTCTGTGTACCTCATGCCTCCTACCTAATCTGTCAAGAATATATTTCTTCCTCTAAGACACACATCCTCTTGTTTATTTTCACCTTCCCCTGACTGGTCATCCCACACTGCCTCTATTATGTGGTCCAACCAGACTCACAGAGAGTTCCCTGGGTGAGAAGTTTGTCAACTTAAAGGACATTGACTAAATTGTGTGAAACACAGTCTGTCTTTCCTTAACCCGAGTTGCTCCTTCCTATCTCCTATCCCCGTCTCTAAAGTCTTTGTGTGGCCCAAGGGACACCACAGCTTAAAGCCAGGCAACAGGGGGCCTAAAGATGGAGAATGACATGCACTTCAGCAGAGGACTTATAAGTTCTCTCTTCAAGTGACATCTAGAATTTGAGTCACTACCTCCTGGTAGAAGGAGTTAGCCCCACAGCACAGACCAATCCAGAAGATTAATTAAAACCATTTGGTCAAGTATTCCTTAATGAATCTTTCAGATATAACAGTAGAATCAGAAAGTAGAATAAAACAATCCCCATAATCCCTAGAATACATTACACAAAAATTCAATGAACACCTTTGTTCCCCGATTATGCTAAATATTACATTCATTATTTCACTCATTTATCACATCTATCCTAAGAGGCAAACATAAATATTAACAGTTCCATCCTACAGATTGAGAAAATTGGAGTTTAGGAAAATTAAGAGACTTCCTCAATGTCCCACACTGGTAAAGAGCAAAGCCAAGAGCAGACCTCATCTAGTTCTAATGTTAGAAACCTTTTTCTAAAGCAATATTTATTTATTCTTGCTATGCATACCCCCTGAGGTTTGGAGTAATTTAAAGCTCCAGGCTCCTGAAGAATCTTCAAATTACACCTTCAAGACTACCTGGTGGTGATATGTAATTTGTATGTATGTGAGTGAGACCATGGACAACTCTCTTTAGGGCACCCTTGTCATCTGAAACACCTTGGGATTTTGGAATTTTTTTTCTTGAAGTGTCCAGTTTGGAAGTAAACGCGTCCATGTTTGGTACCAATATCAATCTGAAACTTAGGCTGGAACCTTGCCTTGCCAAGAGTCCAGATGTTTGTGAATAGTAGCCAGGCTGTCAGACTCTATGACTCTAAGGTTAGCACAGGAACAAAAGTGTGTCAACCAACCACAGAAGCTGAGGTCACTGCTGGTTTATGAGGAGGATGGCAGAAGTCATTCAGGAAGGAGTGAAAAGGGCTGGACTCCTCATGAAAAAGGACAAGGGATGTTTCTTTGGGCATCTGGGCATTTGTTCAGAGAAAGACTTCTATCTGAACAAGAAGATGCCAATGAGAAAAAGCCATGTGATCAGCAAACACAAGAAATGATTACATGGCACTTACTCGGTGACAGTAATTAGCCTAAGGATGTACAACTAGTAGAGTTGTGTCTTGGGCTTGCAGCCCAGGCCCTTAACCAGGTTGTAGCTCTGATTGTCTCTTATTGTCATGAGCTATCATATTGTCTTGCACAGACTACATGAATTTTGAAAGCCTAATACAAGTGAAAAGTGATTTATAGATTGTTAGGGAC